AATCTGTACGTTCAGCAGGAAGTGCAGCAGTGGATTCCACTGCGTTGCGGAATATCACGCTGCTATCCATGAAAGAATCACCTCGACGGGGTGTATTTACCCCACGGGTTTTGGAATTTACATGAACCGCAACCGGCTTAGCCGCAGGGAACGAGCCTGGCGCAAGTTATCAGACGACGTTGAAGCAACTGTAGCGTACGTCTTCAAGTTCAAGTTCAAGTTCAATTGGGACCGGAACAGTAGGAAAATCCCGCGAATGTTCCACCTTTGAAAACGTCGTTGATCCAACAGGGAAACCGGTGCCTTGATGTGCCAAAGGAGAGCCAAATCAACACACACGATTCATATGGTCAACCAAACAATGGCCACGTGCCCTGCACTAGCAGTCCCCGCTGTGCCGGCCACGTGAAGAATAAAAGAAAACAGTAGTGTCAGTAAAGAAAAGAAAACAGAGAAGACAAGCTAATCTAATATCGTAGGCAATATTAAAATGTAAGTTAAAATGAGTTAAAGAAGCGTAAGCCGTAATAAACGCAGAAAAGTTTAAGACACGAAGGGGAAGACTTTAAACTGCAGACCGAGAGCGTCAAGTCGATGCTCGAACTCTTTCAACGTCGGTGCCATCACGACGTCTGCAGGCAATGTGTTCCAATAAGCTATAACCCTACGCGATAATCTAAAAGTTGCCAAAACCCGGTCAGACCGGGGTTTGTGCAACTTTAATGGGTGGCCACGAAGGGTTGGCATTCGAGTTGGGCGAAACAGTCCAGTCAAATCAGGACCAATCTGACCCATCAATATACGATATGTAAGGACCAAGTCGCCCCGAAGCCGCCTGTAATACATGGAAAACATATCCAACTTACGTAGCCTCTCCGGGTACGTCAGCTTCTTTAAGTCGTACACCATTTTCGTCCCGGACCGCAGGACTCGTTCAACTGCCATCTTATCACGAACCAGGCATGGAGGACAAGCCTGGACGCAGTATTCCAAGTGCGGCCTTACAAAAGCCGAAAATAGTCTAACAAACATGTCGGTGGTCATGATCCCGAATGACCTGCGGATCATCCACAACATGTTGAAGCCTTTACGAGCAGCTGTCTTCCAGTGTTCACTGGACTTGAAGTCAGATGACAGCAAAACACCGAGGTCAGATTGGAGTTGAACTCGCGGTACCTCGTTGCCGCCAAGCAAATAACGCGTCGGCGGGTCATTCGGACCAACGCGTAGAACGGAACATTTCCCTAAATTAACTGGCAACTGCCACAAAATTGACCAGTCCCAAAGTCTATCCAGAGCCTCCTGTAGGGTCAGTGGACCAATCGGCTCGTCTACCGTGAACCAGAGTTTTAAGTCATCCGCAAACATTAGGGATGGCACACCCAATTCATCAGGTAGGTCATTAACGTATAAAGTGAAGAGAAGGGGGCCAAGAACCGAACCTTGCGGCACGCCACTGAGAACACATTGGCGGAAGGACAAGCTTGAACCCACCCGCACACACATTTCCCTTCCGATTAGGAAAGCTGAAATCCATCGTAAGACTGGTCCAGAAATACCAAAGGAATTCAGCTTGTACAAAAGGCGCGAATGTGGAACGGTGTCAAAAGCTTTGGAAAAGTCAATAAACAGCACGTCTACTGCCTTCCCGCAATCAACGGCTTCGGCCCAGTGTTCACGAGCGGTTAACAAGTTAGTAAGGCAAGAATAGCCCTTACGAAAACCGTGCTGAGAAGGATTAAGCAAGTCAAACGCTTTCAAATGTCCTTCGAGAGCGTCCCTCACGAGCTTTTCCAATAACTTGACCAGCACGCTCGTTAAACTGACCGCTCTATAGTTATCAGGGAGGTGCTTATCACCTTTCTTAAAAATGGGGCAAACAATAGCCTCCTTCCAGTCCTTGGGTAGAGAGCAGCCACGTAGAGACTTCACAAAAAGATGCGTAATCGGAGAGCAAAGTTCATCAGCCAACTCGTACAACAGTTTGGGATGAATAGCATCTCCACCGGCAGCTTTACTGGGATTTAACTGCCTCAAAAGCCGGAGCACTTGAGCCTCGGTTATAGAAACCTCCTCCAAGTGGGAGCCCTCAGGAACTTTTGCCTGGAGACTGATATGCGGCGGCTGTGACTCTCTAACATAAACCCCAGCAAACTGTTCTCCAAGCAAACAAGCTTTTTCGTGATCCGTGACAACAGCAGTGCCGTCCGGGCCAAACAATACTGGGATGCACGAATTCATGTTGCTTCGCCTTTTGACATAGGCGAAGAAGCGTTTCGGGTTTGATGAGGCTATACGAGCAAGCTCTACTTCATGCTGTAGACGAGCACCACGTAGATACTGCCAGCAGGCATTTCGAACCTCACGATATCGCTTGAAAGTGCATAATGAAGGAGCAGATAAGTAAGTACGCCAACATCTGGCACGTCTGTTAAGTAGTTTGCGTACAGCAGAATCAAACCAGGGTGGCTTT